TTTTTTTTAAAGAAAGGACAAAGGTTTAGAAAAAAAATGCTACTCCCCTCCCCCATCTATAATGGTTCCTACACCCATTTATCCAATGAGATGAAATGAGCAGTAGATTGAAGTGAAAGCAGAAAAAAAATATAAAAAGATCGAAGTACACGGGGCAGTAAGGAATGCCTTAAGGATGGCTTTCAAAGCTTTTAAGACTGAAAAAATTCTGCCACTCTATTAAAATGTATGTGATTGCATGGCCTTAGACCTAAGAAATAGAACATATTTTGATGAGTCAGCACAGGAAATGTGATTTTATGTTTAAATAACTACATAGTACATAAATATAGTAAATGCTCACAGCTATTGATTCATAAAGCTCACAGCAGTGTTGGACAAATTGGGCATTCTGTACTAATAGAAAACAGCCAGTGATTCCTTGTGAGTATCACAAATCAATAGTCTAGTGTTGGGTGCACAGAACAGGGGATAGCATTTTTTTAAGGACACAGCAAAGGCTGATTATTAAGGAAAATGTGCAGTTATGTGGAAATTATTATTCTTATTACCAAAGACAGGTCGACTGGTTCTCCGTCCTTCATCCAATCCACACGGAGCAGCGGGGGCTGAGCTATCACTGGGCAGGAAACCACACCATCCATACCTGTGGGGAGGTATGTTTCCTGGGGCATTTTTAGTGCCTGGGCAGGGTCTGAGAACAGTTATATAGATAAAACATTATATATTTTTGTAATAGTTAAGCATTCAAATACTTTACTGTGTCAACACTGAGGAAAACTGCACATACCACTGCAGAGGAACTGTGCCATGATCCATAACTTATTTTGAAAAACATTTGTTTTGTTGTATTGCATTTTCTGCAAGTCTGTGTATTCAGTATAAGAAGTTGCAGACTGTTATTTGCAGTTGACTGAGTGCCTGACAGAATAATATATTTCACAGGCAAGAGCAAAATGTTAATAGGGAACTGTTTACAAAACCTTAAAGAAGCCTCACCAATAAAAAATACAATAAGCGGAAAAAACAAGACAAAAATTGGGGTTTCAAGGGAATGTATGGTCTAGTTTTCTACATCAGTTCTAGGAACTGTGCATTTTTTCATTACAGTTTAGTTCAGAACCAATTCTACTGCTGACAGCAGTGCAATAAAACACCATATTTAATGTCTCTGAAATCTTATTTTCATCTTTTTGATTTAATTTATATAGATTTCCTTAATAAACACTAGTTATCAGTCTCATCCAGGACCTTTGTTATTTCCTCTGTACCTCTGCTGAAAGAAGGTACGGATATCCTTTGCCTCTTGGCATTAAAGTTATCAGTTGCTTTCACTTTCCTACTGTCTTTTATATATTTTTTTTCTGAGATCACTGTTTCAATATATAAAATATGACTGGGGCTTTCTTAGTGGTAATTAAACTAATCAGGACATGTTTTTTATGACTTAGTGCTTAAAATGAAGCTTAAAATATTGTTTGTGACTGTCCATCACAGTGTTTGTCTACCTTACGATGCTACAATGTTTCTAAAGTGAAGACTGCTACTCAACATGAAGGGAATACATGGGACATATGAAAGAAAGCTCAGACTAATTGACCCTTTGTCATCAGCAACCCCCAGTAAGCAAAACATGTCAGATATGTAGTAAATCCTAATTGGCATTGGCAGATAAATGCATCATATATGTACTCACACTAATCATGTTATGGTTTCCTAAATATTCTATTCACCAGATTAGTTATAATTTTGTTTTTATCTTTGTCAGGACCATGGACTAAACATCTCTTGCCCCTGGGCAAGTAAAACCTAATTTTGATACATATTTGTATTTTAAAGCCTATCAAAGATACTAGATAAAAATAGAAATATGTTTTCAAAAATACATACATCATCTCCAGTCCAGAAATATAACAGAAGTATACACACACTGTAAAACCTCTATATGTACATGTACCCATCATTCAATAAGGAGACCACCCTTTCAATATATAAACAATATAAAATATATAACACGGCTGGTTTCTTAGAATCCACTTTCTTTTTTGCCTCTAAAGAAAAAAGAATAATCTAGACATTTTCAAGCCATAGGGGAGCTTGGTCCTTGCCTTAATGGACTTAGATGAAAAGGAGGATTGTGCAAAGGCTGAGTTTCTTTACTCTATATTCACACAGCACAGTTGATCCTAAAGCTTTGGTTATCTGTGCTGAGGAAAGTTGTTCAGAAGTTATCAGTGCTGAAAGTGCAGCATAGTGAACTAAAACAAGATGAACAAGTCAAAGTTTATTTGTAGTGTGATGCAAATGGACTCTGGTTCTTTCTGGATGACCAAGCTACTCAACACCTGACTTACATACAGGTGTGTCAGCTTCCCCTACTATGTGTGTTAGCCTCCTGCCATCTGTGATGCCAACACTTGATCGATTTCTGTCAGCACCATCCACTGAAACACTATCTAATGTGTCATGCTCAGACCCCATAGAAGTACATCTTTGATAATATTTTTTGCATCTTTTTGTGTTTTAATGGTTTGAGGGTTACTGGGAATGACTAGATTATTCTAGGTGACCAAGGTTTTAAAATCCAGAAATGTTACATAGGCAGTCCATCTATGTGGACTCTTACCTTGCTATTGAAGTTGTTTCTAAAATTAATTAATGCCAAATTACTGCCAGATTTCACAAGTTTTCATGCAAATTTAGGCCCTCAAACAGGCAATTATTTTGTCGAAATATTAAACTGAGCAGATACAATGGGGCCTTTACACTGTGAGTGCTCAGGCCTTAATGACAATAATATTCATAATAATAGAGACAATAATGAAAAGAAATGAAATTTGAAGGAAATTACAAATAGTCTTTTAAGGACTCATAGTGGCTCTGTGATTGGATGAAAACTGGACAACTTTTATGCTGTACTGCAGAGGTTACTAAGCAAACATTGAAGCGCTTTCTCTAACAGACAGATTCAGCTCCACTACCACAAGGACAGACACAGAAAATTGTTTCATACTTGATACAATATCTCTATAATGCAACACATTTGTTTAGCAGACAGTCGTCTGTACCCTGATGTTTAACAGTTAATTTCAGCTTAGTTAAAACAGACACTTGTGAGCCAATTAATGCTTTACTATTAATTGCTTTCCTACTTTTGTAGCCATTTGAAATGTTGTTTCTGCTGGAGTTACTGAAATATTTTACTTGCTATATAGTACATTACAGTGTATGTTTAACTTATTTAAGATGTTGTGTGTAGTAGCTAAAAGAATTGACCAATCTGGGATAAATGAAGTACACAGTAAATATTTCTTCTTATGACATCTTATTATATATTAGCCACAGACCACACACAAACGTACGCATCACTGTGAGGATGGCAGAGGCAGTTGGCGGCATGAGCAGGCCATTGGTTGGCACACAGGTGTAGTTGCCAGAGTCCTCTGGGATCAGCCTGGAGATAAGTAGAGTCCCATCTACCATGATCTTCACTCGTGACTTTAGAGACCTTGAGAAAAACATCAGTATGAGAGCAAACCAGCTACTTTAGAATAAGAGGGAAATATTCTCTAGAACATTTTCAGAACATCAAAAGTGTAGGAGGGTTTTTTTTGTTATTATTAATATTGTTATTCACTGTTCTGTGCAGATGGAGGTTAAGGACATTTCATTTTATTTCAGTTAGAGTGAGAGGCAGTGTGCCCACTCATTTTATACATCCTTATATTTAAAGAGAAAGAAAAAAAGACAAACAAACAAATCCATCTAACAGGCTCTGTGACTTTGGTGTTATGTTTAAGGGACCACCTTCAGCCACATTCACATTCATGTACTATAAGAAACTTGGATATTTCTTACCACTATTGTTTTCCTCTTGCATTTAAGAAAAATAGCAAGTGCCACTGAATATTTTAGTTGTTTCAGTTTCATGTTAACAGAGAATCAATCGAAAAATGTGATATGGGTCACTGTCAGTGACCACAAAGATTTATCGCCAATGCTGAAGGCCTACAGAGCTTTTCAGGCTCTTTTAACTCAATTATGAGGCTTTACGGCACATTTACTGTATCAGTCAGTCACAGCAGTGGCCAGCTTCTTTAGCAAACAAATCTCTATCAAACCCTCGGTATGTTACCTGCCTCAGGAACAAACGGCAGACACACAGAGGACAATCTGCAGAATAAAACTGGAGATGGTAAGAAGTTGTTTTTTACCATCTCACAGGACAAAATAAAACAAGAGGTCAAAGGGTGATTTTCTTTATCATCAATTTTATTCAGCAGCACTAGTGGCATGAGTGTGTTGTGATGTCATGTCAAAACTAAAATATGTCATCAACTATGGAATGAATTGCTATGGAAAATAGACATATAGAGAATGTAGCCACATATTTACATTTCCTTATATTCGTTTTTTCCCCAGGTTAAAAGTGTCAGCTTTAGTTTATCCAGTACATTATAATTAAATACCTGTAGTCCCCTAATAAAATTACCATTTGCTTCAGCTCTACTTTTTTAAGCAGTAATTAGCAACTAATTGCAAGCTAACATGCTGAACAAATAAGGCAAGGATAATACCTGCGACAGCATGTTGGCATTATTGGTGTAGACAGAAAGCCATGCATGTGTTAGGGTATAGCACAAAAGTGCTACTGTGCCAAGGCTTCAGCACTAAACTACCTTCTCACTTTTTGTATCATATTTCGCTAGCATGGGTATAATTTTTCAGGGAGTTACTGATTCCCCTTGTGGTAAAAATAAATAAATAAATCAATAAAGTGGAAAAAACAAAAAAACAAAAAGGTTTTCCTAAGGTGATTTACTTATGAAAAATGACAGATGTACAGGGCTCATTCAAAAAAATAAATTGTTTGCTTTTTGTTTATTTGTTTTTTCATACATGGAATAATTAACATTTTTAATTAGCAGTTTCTATTCTAATAACTCAGCAAAAACATTTAATATTCACGTTACTCTTGCTCTCTTAAGCTAATACTGCCCTGTTTGGCATCAATAACTTGTAGGTATTTTTGCACAATTATCCACCAGGCTCTTGTAAAATTTTCTGCCACTGCCACATGTAGATTTCAGTCAACTGTATTATGATAGAGGGCTTTTTTTCATGTACAGCCCATTTAAATCCTCCTACAACTAGAACCTGACTAGGCCTTTCCATAACTCTTCATAACTTCTCTTGCAGCCATTCCTTGGCTGATTTGCTAATTTGATGGGAATCATTATACCATCAAAGGGTACCCCTCAGGTTCAGTTTTAAACTATTTACTTAATAAATTCATAATATCTTACACAGAAAAGATAATAACTGCTCATAACTGGGACTCAGAGACTCCCCAGTCCACAGCGACCCCAAATCATGACACTACACACAAATGTCCATATGTGACATGGTCATGTCACATATGTGACATGCTCATCACATCACATTTGTGATGGTCACAGCATTTGTGACTTGACAAATCGACATTTGAGTTATCAGTCTGGAACACAGCAACCCAAAAAGCCAGGCATAAGTCTTTAGTTTTGGCCTAATGTTACGTTTAGGCAGCCAAGTCTTTTCCTTGCACATCTCATCTGCAGGTCAGCACATGTACTTTGTACTCAGTAGCAAGAGTTTCCTGTTGGTCCTGGAATAAACTAGGAGGTTCTTGGAGACTTCTTTTTCCATCAAACACTTTACTCTTGGGCTAAATTTGCTGGGGCAGCCATTCTTGTACAAAATCTTTTTAAGTCCCTTGCCAGACTCATAGGCACCCAAAACTTTTTTTCTTATTCCCTTACAGAGTTCTTTAGATCTTGACATGAGAGGACACACTTCAATAGCAAAGAAAACACCAGACTCTTGATGTCATACTTTTTAAATAAGACAGGTTCCAACTCTCACTTCCAAAGAGTGTCCAATCATTGGCACCCAATCTGGAACACCTGATCCAAAATTTATGGATCTGAAGGTGTTACAGCTGTACGACTTTACTTACTGTTTCCACATGAATGATTTTACTTTTTGTAATTCATGCTGTGAACATGAAATAATTAGTTTGAGAATAGTGTCTTTCTTAAAAGGTACAAAGGTCAAAATACATTGAAAATATGACAAATTCAAAGGGATGTGTTGATTTTTAATTTTTTTTTGCCATGATTGCATCTTAAACCCAAACAACAGCATGAAATCTGAGTGTAAATGGAGAAATGAATATAGGAAATCTATTTTGGCACTGTCAAAGAGCACCTCACTATTTTTAACAAAGAAATGAAAAAAAAGGCTTATTTCCCAGCATTAGTCATAGATAATCAGAATAATCCTCATACGCTCTACTCAGCTGTTAACAGCAATATATATCAGGTCCAAAAAGCCTCTCTGAATCTCCCCCCCACCCCCCACCCCCCACCCAATCGAAATCCGGTTGAGTATTAACCTGAGTATAATGAACAGTAATACCTGTGATAGAGAAATGCTCAAGGGGAGAAGTAATGCAAATTAAGCCCCCAACCTGCTCAACTGACCCTATCCCAGCCACTGTTTTTTAAGAGACTGTTCAATTGTCTGGTGCATGATATGCTGGCAATCATGAACCATTCCCTGCTCACTCCATCTTCTCTCTGGCACAAAACAGAGCTTTTATGAAACCTCTCATACAGAAAAGCTCATTCGGTGCTTTACAGTTTTCAGGGCAATATCTTTTTTCTTCTTTTAAAGTGACACGACTGATGCTACTGCAACATCAGAATTTCTTCTCTTTTTTATTTTTTATCCTATTTCTGTATTTTTCTTTGTTTTTGGAGACTACAACATAATGTTATCTTTTATTGCCCTTTACGTAGTTTAGGGGTAAAAAAAAAACCAAGTTAAAAACCATGAGATAAATGAAGTATTTTGGCCTATTTATTGTCTTATAACATTGTGGTGAAATTGCACATTTACAAACACACAAAATAGATGCTGTCTCCAGTATTTACAAACTAATAACCTTCTGCATCTAACACCTGCCGAGATACATTTCTGATTCCACTGATTCATTATCTATCAGCTAACTTTTAATTTCATACCTTTTGACCAGCTGATACTAGAAAGAAAATTGGAGACAGAACTGAGGTCAGTGCATTGTAATATATGTTTTTTCCCTACTTTTAATCACTGTGCTCATTAATATTTAATGCCCCGTATATTTGCTGAATGAGCCAAGCCCAGTGCATATCAGGCATTAATTCATAAGAAAATAAACACTGATTTAGAAAACTTCAATGTGATACAATGTTGTTTTTTATATCAGCTAATGGGTGTTACCCTGTTGTCTACACCTGGACAAACATAGACAAGCCACACTAGTTAAGAAGAACTGCAGGTAAAATATGAAAACAGAGGCTCATCTGTGACTTAAAATCCTTAGCACAAAATGTCAAGCCCCAAACAAGTAACCTCAATGTGTGTGTGTGTTTCTTTTTTTCCTTATTTAAATTTCACATCTGAAGTAGCAAAAAAAAAAATCCACCTTCTATCATCTCTGGAATATTTCTGGTGTACAGCTCACCCTCTCTCCTAGGCATATACCGAAGGAATAAAGCATTCTTTCATCACTAGCAGACTTGATTACAGCAAAGCGCTTTCAATTCTGTGCCAGCAAAGAAACCTTTTAGTTGTGAGTTCTTTAACGTGGCCCTTAGATCACCACTGGACTGTAAAAACAGTTTGTGCAGTCAATGTTACCTCAGAGTGAAAAGAAATCACTCAGTGCTCATTTTCGTTAATTCAGGTCTGTCTAGATGTTTTACTTGTATCTAGAAAACAACAAGTCAAGTCAGGTGCTTATATACTTATTCAACAGTATGTGGGGACGTGTGATTGGTCCATGATAAATTCTGAAGCATGAAAACAACTGCAAATGCATAGCCTGAAAGACTATCTCCAGCTAGAAAAGGTGCCCTGAAGTAACATGACAAATAAAAGCAATTCATGGTGTTATTTTTAAAAGCATTTCTTATTTTGGCACTAAAAAGCTTGAGCACAGTGATGTGCATATTCTGGCAGACAAACCACAGATCACCTTAGACACTCCCACGGGACACTAAATACTCAGTTTTTATGAATAACAAAAAAAAACAACATACAGGCTGTATTGGGTGTATTTTTCCTTGGTGCTGTTGCAGTTTTATAACAATTTTACATTTGCCTGGTAAAGTTGTTGCTATTTTAGTGCATGCAAACATTAGCTATTAAACTCAAAGAAACCATACTATGTATTGCATTTACCATGCATTATATGCAGCATCAATGAGGGTTTCATAATAAAGTGATCTTTGCATGAATGTATCCATGTTTCCAGATCAACAGAACGTATGGATCCACGTTTACCTGACATTTTTGAACTTGAGTGACAGGGGGTTTGAGTGCCTTATAAATAATTGAATGAGAAAACATATAAAATTGATGACATCTGGCTCAAATTGCTTTAAATTTCATGAGTACATTTTGTGATCTCATGTATCCCTTTATTTAATGCAGAGTCTGAAGACTCGCCCTCATTCACCAAAATGTAATGAACTGACACAAGTAGATGTCAGACAGACTTTTAAGGAATGTTCTGGATTTGTTAAACCCACTGAATTGGGCTTTTGTGTGCTATAATGCCTAGCACTAAGACATACTGTAGGAGGAGGTGAGGTTATGCTTCTGGTAAATTTTCAATACAGTCACTATAAAGTAAATCGCATCTCTTGTACAACCTACCCAACATGTTGGGTTCTTTTTCCTTTTTAAAAAAAAAAAAATTAAAGATTTAATGTGACAAATCTCAGTAATTGTCCGCTTTTTGTGATTTTCCTTTTTTTATGATGCAAAAGATAATGAAGGCTATCTTGAACAAAAAGCACAAAATTAGATTTACGTAACAACCACTAAGCTTTTACAACATTCCTGGAAAAAAAAGAAAAGAAAAAAGGATAATGATCAAAATGGTAGTTCACTCACTCTATGTGATAGACATTTTCTCCACCTTTTTCCCACACGTATGTCATGTTGGGGGGATCTGCCACTGCCTGGCACTGGAGATGTGCATCTTGGGACATGTTCAGAGAGGTGTTTTTGGGAGGTATGACAATGACAGGCGGACCTGGAGATGCAGGATACAAAAATGCTGAGTGCAGGATATAATAATAAAGATTTCCTTTTTTTTGTCTCTATAGTTATTAAATAAATAACCTAAAAATCTAAGAAACAGTGTCAGTTTGGCAGAGACACAAAAAATTTAATAAATTACATAAGTACAATTCCTTTGTATCTAGATGAATAAATTCACCTCATACAAATAACAGTTTTAACAGATTTCTCAATACTCACACGTACAATATGTCCCGTATCTACACTAGGTGTCGTATTCTCCTTTTACTTTAATGACTATTTTGCCAAGAAGAAAACTGAATTTGAAGGACCTCTTAGGAAAGAGCTGCAATATAATCAAATAATGATAAAAGACTCTCAAATAGATTGTTGCATCTATTCTAGTATATTGCATTCTCTTTTAATTAAATTATACGTACTGTAACCTTCACTATCTTACACCTTTTTTATGATGCAACAAAAGACAGTATATTGCTCAAGTATTAAAAAATACTTAAGCGTGATATAAAAGATGCCTTATATGTTTCAGGACAACAAATATACATCAGTAGCTCAGTATTATCCTTTAACATTACGCTGGACTACAGTATTCCTCTTGTAGAGGAGTATAGTATGTTGTATTCCTTTTGTTTTGGCTGGTCTCAGAGGAAACCTGTTTTACCCTCCATGAGAAATCTACTAATTTCTTACATTCCCTTAAAAATCTTATTATTCATAGGAGAGAAAATAATGAAATCATCTGTGATACAAAATATCCATCTAATAAATACCAGAATGAATTATTCATGAAATGCATGGTAGCGAAAGACACAACCACAGATAAAGTGGGAAACAACTGGATATTTAATGGTTAAATAGGTTGTAGATTGGTGAAACATAATAACAACAAAAATAGATGCTAAAACCTAATAAAAGAAACAAAATACAACACAGCAAAAGTTGAATTGTAAGAAGTAGATGTTTACTGAGAAATGAAGATAAAATCCAACTTAATACCCCATTGGCTTTTCAAACATTTCTTTTAACCGTAACACTAAAATATACAAAACATTCTGTGATGTTGCAGCGGTCCCCATCATGTCTTTGCTTGGCCAGACACGTCACATACACTGTATTTTTTACATCTTTTACATTCTTTATGAGCAGCCCTTTGTCTCTCTCTAAGGTCTGCTGGGTACTTGCTCAGAAACCAAAGTACGTACTTACTTAAAAATTAATATTCTCAATATGTGCCATACAGGTGATAAGTTGGAGCATAGACTTCACCTGTAATTAGTAACTGATTTGTCAAGACACTATTTTGTAGAAATAGTAAACACAGCTCAGATTGTGCATATGTGAGGCCAGTGCTTAAACATTTTTAGAGAAGTAAAAAATTATTACATCAATATATCTGACAAAAATCCATACATGCAGAGTATATACGGTATATAGAGTACAAGGGTGCTCTATAGATGCACAGATGCCCTAAACTAAGAGTATAGGCAATTACTAGAATATTTTCTGTGATGGTTAATGTATCAGTATGCATAAGCACTTCATATTTTAGCATTAAAAATATAATTTTAATTAATTACTGTTGTTATCTCTTAATTTTCAAATTTACTGTTTTACAAAAGAAACAGAAAAAAATGTTAAGGACATTATTATTTTTTGATTAAGATGGCAAACTACAGATATTTACTTGCATTCCTGAATAGATAAATTAGTTTTAGTGGTTGAATGATATACTTGTCAGAGAAGTCCAGTGTGCTGGCTCAAATGTGGGTTTAAGAACATGATTTAATTGGTTTGTTATTTGTATAGTAAATAAATAAATAAATATATATATATATATATTTCTTCATTTTAAATGAGCTTTTTACAGCTTTCTGAAACATTTGTATTTTTTTTTTGTTTGTTTTTAATGATAGGTAGTGTTAGTCACTGTATGTAAGTGCAGTACATTATAATTTTACTTACAAAAGACAATTAAGGTATCATTGCTTTACTATTTAAAAATGAATCAGAACCACTCTACTAGAGAAACTATGTAAAAACATCTTTGCAAATGTTGCAAGCATCTTTTAATGTATATGTACTATGTTTTGTTCTGTTTTCATGCCATTGCACACTGGAAACATTAACTATACATAAGGTTTCT